TGTTAAATTTGTGTCTTCTAGGCTGCAACAGTTCCATGATGCATCTTCAAGAATATGAACGTGTATCGCTAAGAACAATTGATAACAGTGCATCTAAATTCCAAAATCAATCTCTGCAAAAGTATACGTGTTTCCTATTGCCAAAGGGGCCCTTTGGAGTAGTAAGAGAAGATCTTCACCCTGAAACCTACAGCATCTCTTTTCAGCAGGAAATAGCTAAGAGAATCCACCGTCCCCTTTTCCTTATGTATCAGGGTGAAATCTCTCTCAGGGAGGAGTAATAAGGAATGGCAAAGAACACACCAACAAAGGAGATTAATCAGAACTGGTTTTGACAAGCACTGTGGCAATGGGACAATTAAAACAGATTTTTCAAGGAATATCCAACCTGAATCTTTCTGATCATATGATTTTTAAAAGTATTCGAGTTTATGATGTTTAATCTGTTTGATTTGTTTGTTTGTAGATGAAGGATGGAGAAAATCAAAACAAGAGTGAATCAAGGAAGAGAAGATGCTAGTCTAGATGATAACATAATTATAATAAAAACAAAAGGGGGGAAATATGGGAAGCCAAACTTTATACCAAATACTATATGAAAATCCTTGTTCAGGAATTGAAGGAATTGCAGATTTATAAGTTAGGATTTCTCTTGTGGCAGATCCCAGAAAATGAGCTGTTTCTTCCATGCAAACAGGAGACAGCCAGACAGGAGACAGCAAGGGGCCCCCTACAGAGGGAGTGTTACTTCCTGAGCTAGAGTTCACCCTGAGGCATCCAAGTAATCCTTAAGGGTAAAGCAAATTCTTGCATTTGTGAACCCCTCCCTCCTGAGTCAAGCAGAAGGTTTTCAATAGAAAGAGCTTGGCTTCATTTGCATTGAATTATCTTTGTGATTTACTTCCTGATAATTTTCAATAAAGACAGAGAAACATGACTTGGGGTCTTCAGTCTGGCCCCCTGTTTTATGCTCTCTGCTCTATCTCATTCCTGGCTATTTGTCTCATTATTAATAATTATAAAATTATTCTATTCTTTGGGACCCTCAGTCTGCAACATGTATCAGAGACAGTACAATTGGCACGGGATAGAGCAGGGTTTAGGGCTTAGGTTTAGGTTTGTACACAGGGTTGCCGAGATGCAGGCGACTGACAGCACATAAGGCCCTGTTGTGTGAATGTATTAGGCTTCCTCAAACACTTGCCTGTCAGCAGGCACTTGAGTTGTCTACAACTCTTTGGCATTGTAAGTAACTCTGTAATAAACATGGTGTGTGTGTGTGTG